TTATCCAAGGAAAAACTATCGTCAGAGGAACGATCTATCTTATCTATTATAAGCATTTTGTACAGATTTTTTTCTTTTTACTGACCTTAGTCTTTATTGTTTTTCTTATTGCTTTCGGCTGTTATTTTTCTTTGCTGTATTCTATTCTTCTTAATTTAGCATTGTTATTAGTATTATTCTAACCGTTGATTTAATTAACAAATGATCCGTTTATAGACATTCATTACAACTAGACTAGGTCTTCATGCATTACTATGTTTCTCGATAAACTCAGAGATACTGATATTGATTATTTCCCAAAGTTATAATTTGTTTAACTAATAATTTTTATCTTAACCATATGACCCACTGTAGCAAATCCCTTCCTCACTATCTATCATCCTTGACATTTGTTATACAAATTGTTTATACATATCTAAATGAGAAATCATTCTATTTAAAATATTCATCAATGTAGTCGAATCATTAAAACTACAACAAAAAAAGCTCAGACATGTTCTGGAACAGTTTAAGCCATCGTATTAATGCCACTTAAGGCGTTTCATGTTGCTGAAGAATTATAGGAAAAAAAAAGAAGCCTGATATTTGTTGTCTGTTGTTATCAATTACTTCAAGATGCGTATCATTTACTCTAGAAGCTCTTCTTCCGACATAGCTTGCATTTGGTTCTAGTTAGGAGGTGAAAGAGTTAAGGAAAGAAGTCTCTCATTACTAGAGAAAAATTGTTTATTTATGGGTGATATGGGTGTGAGTGTTTTTGTTCTATTTATTCATATCATACACCATTGGAGAAAGAAAACAAAATAAACCCATTGCAACTAAATTGCTTCACCGATAAAAATTGTTCGCAAATATCCTATTCGAAAAAGTATGCTACATCAGTAGTTTATGAAAACTATTGGAAATATATGTATTTTAAAATAAAATATTCATTGGATAGCTAATAAACTACTTACGAGGGAATATTCCTAAGTGTCACATCGTTTTTGAGTCGACCGTATGGGAATTATATAGGTCCTAATGATCTATGAATCCTCCCAAAAAAGTTCATGTCGCTAGTTTCTTACTGCTGAGATATAGCATTTTTACTATATGTTTCGAAAAAAGTCGTGGTCCCCCTCAGGAACATCAGAAAAAGTGAGTTTTGAGTTTCAGCCTGAAACTTTGCATGTATATAGGCCTCAATAAAGACAGTTTATTGTCAATGTTTCAGATTTTTTGGTTGCTCCTAGTCTGAGATAAGAACATCGGATCCGCTGGGGTATATGAACAATTTTATGATAATTGTATCTTAGGATAGGTGCAATGAAAAAAGCTGAAACTTTCACAATAAAGTATTCTCATTGAGCCCTATATCTATGCAAAGTTTGAAATTGAAATTCAAAATTCAGTTTTCCAAATGTTCGATACTAGTCATTTACAGCAGTAAAACTTTTACCGAGAAATACACAATACAAGAAAAATTTATCAGAAGTAAATCACTCTGCATTCTCCTCTTAATCATATGTTATGTCATCCGGCTGCTAAAATCTAAAATAAGATAAATGGGAGTGTCCAAAAAAACTTAGACTTAAAACTAATATTCATTATTTTCTTCGATGTATGTTTTATAAAAATGTTACTAAAGAACAAATGAAAATGAAGAATTATTTTGAAACTATCTTTGTTTACTTTGTATTCTAAAATATTTTTATAAGAAATCATTTCGAATAAACTTTTGCTCAAATAGAAAATAAAATTTCGTATCGATTTCTTTATATAAAAACATATCGAATATATTTGATTTTTGCTCAAAATAACAAAATTTAAAAACAAAAAAAAAAAATTTTTAACAGACAATATTAAAAAAACAACAACAAATTTTATATTGATTCTTGAAATAAAATTAAATAATACATACATAATCTTCTCTAAAGTAATTTCAAATAAATATAATATATCTTATTGTATAACACTTTTTTTTGTTTTAATGAAATGAATAAATTAATTTATATACAATACATAGATTACATCCCAAGAGTTCATGAATATAATTCTTTTTGTTGACAAGTGTATGCTGAAAATGTATTTATTTAATTAAAATGATAGACATGATTATTGATTTTATAAGAATACTTGAATGAACTAAATATATTTTTATTATTCTTCATACATAAAAAAACAAATATTTTATTTCATTAAATTTTACTAAATAAACATGTAAATTGTTGAAAATAGATAATGAAGAATGATCTGAAAGAATTAATAATAGTAAAAAGCATATTAGAAATGATGAGAAAGAATAGAATATTTGATAATAATTAAATTATAGATTTTAAGATTATTGAATCAAAATTTGATAATCAAAATGTACTATATGTCATAAAAAATAATTTTATAATGAAAATATTTGTCAAAAAAAAAAAATGTTTAATAAAAGAATTTATTTTGACATAATGTCTTGATTATTGTCATTTACGTTAGTTAGAAATAACAATTTTTGATAGAGTTTTTTCTTTATCATATTACAAAAATATCTGAAGGAGACATGTCAACTCATGTCATTATTCATACATAACCAAACACTCATATCTATTTCCAATGTCAAGTGTTAATACTAAAATGAATTATGCTTTTTTTTTTCTTTGTAAATATTTCATATTCTTTCTATCTATGAATATATAAATAAAATTTCTTAGAACAAAAATATCTTTTAAAATCGTTTTTTTTTTTGATGGAAGAATACATTAAAAATTCGAAAAATAAAATATATTATATTGTTAAACTTCTAAACAGCATAGTGATAAGACATGAATTTAGAACAGTTGTATTTGCAAATTGCCTTTTCGAACTGTTTCGATGAGAAATCGAAGAAAACTCATTCGAAAGTCTTTTCTCATAAATCAAGAATACTGTTATGAATCAAATTCAATATACAATAGCTTTCTTGCAAAAGCAGACTAATGTATAATAGTGATTATTCTTTCAAAAGTATAAGGTATCTTTATATCGTAAAATAATTAATTATCATCTACTCACTAGTCCGCATAAGGACACTTGAAATTGCATGCATCTTTTTGTATTAGCCTTCAAAATAGTTTTAATATTTTATAATTTAAGGTTTGATCATAAGAGTTTTATAGGAGAATTGTCGTTTGTGTGTTAGCCTTACTGTTGATAGACTATTTGTTGAATATATATCTAAGAATTTTTTTACATATTGTTTTGATAAGAAATTCGAGTAGTTTGTTTTGTGATTATTACTATGATAGACTTCGTCTATTTTTTATTTTTGCATATATTGGGTGTGAAAAAAGTTTTGCATATTCTAATGCCACACAATAGGATGAGTAATAATTGTCATGTTTTGAAAAACTAGACTAGACTTCTGATTGATTTCAAACATTATAACTAATATGAATGAATAATAATTATCAAAATAGTTTTTAAACATCTTCATTAGAATGTAATTCAATTATAACAATTGTTATTTTCTTTATAATTATTACATTTAAAACGAATATTTGAATGTAAATGTCTCATCACAATAGATTTTTCTCAATTACGAAAGATTAAATATTAACAGAATCTGTAAAAACATTACGAGAACAAGAAATAAAAAAAAGTTATTTCTTCAAGACACACTGACATTTATTCAATATTAGCAGTCTATTAAAATATACAGTCAAAGATAAAAGTTTAAACGAAAATGTATTTTTGATTTTTTTCTATAATAACAAGCATCTAACTGAAATTCAAATAATGATTCGGATAGTCAATGAAGAACTCTATCAAATGCATCCTATACCAAAAAATTACATAGATGATTTAAGGTAGCAAGGTTTCTAGAAAATCCAAAACCGTATTTTTCAGGTCTCAAAAGACTTTACAATAATTCGTTTCTAACAGTACCAACTTAAAGAACACAAAATTCTGAAGAAAATGAAGGGTCGCTGCCTTTCCTTTCAAAAGTTATAAGCATCACAAAAATACGATTATTAGCTGTTTCTTGATGAATTTCACTTTTTTTCCAGTTTTTGTAATGCATACAAATTTTGAAAGGAAAGGCGGCGATCCTTCATTTTCTTCAGAATTTTGTGTTCTTTAAGTTGGTACTGTTAGAAACGAATTATTGTAAAGTCTTTTGAGACCTGAAAAATACGGTTTTGGATTTTCTAGAAACCTTGCTACCTTAAATCATCTATGTAATTTTTTGGTATAGGATGCATTTGATAGAGTTCTTCATTGACTATCCGAATCATTATTTGAATTTCAGTTAGATGCTTGCTATTATAGAAAAAAAATCAAAAATACATTTTCGTTTAAACTTTTTGTCTTTGACTGTACATATAAAACAAAGAAAATTCTCACAAAACTTTTGTTACATTTTATATTCCATAATAAATATGTCTTGAATTTTTCTAACTTTGTTCTTTTTTTTCAACATACGAAAGTAGAAATGTCCTTCGTTTTGTAAAATCTAATGACTATATAATCATGATCATATCTAAAAACTTTCTAGTCATTGTTCTTGTTACAAAGTGTATCTTTAATCAATAGTTACAGAAGCGTAACTCACCATTGAAGGCAAGCAAATAGTTCGTCACACTCTATGCGCTTTCCATAAGTTATGTTTTTATGTACTGTATAAAACAAATTCAGTCGAAGTCTAGTATAATTTTCAATATCCTATCTTGAATAAAAGAAAATACTGTATTCATTTGACTTATAATACAAAAGTTTGGATGATTAAAGTTTTTTCTACGAATTTTTAAAGGGAAAAATCTCACAAGTATAGATAATCACATATGATCGTATAATGTTTTTTTTTTTTTAATCAATAAAAATATTTTTGATTTATTTAAATATAAAAGCAAAAAAAAATTTTATTTATTAAAAAGAAATATTGGAAAAAATTTCGATAGATGTCATTAATAATTTTCTATTGAATAAATGATTCATCATGTGCAAAAAAAAAAAAAAAAAAAAAAAAAAAAAAAAAAAGTATCTTTGAAGCAAAAATGTTCGTTTTTATCGATCGTCGTTTTCTCTACGGTCTATTAGTGCCGAGTACTGTTATTATTATTGGTGGTATTATTTGGTATCATAATCGTCGAAAAAGTTAGAATTATAATTAATCATCTTTTTTTTTTTTAAGTGAAAAATATTTTGTTTTTTTTTTCTATCTCATAGATGAACAACTTCGTTTAAATCGTTCAGAATATCTTGTACTTGAAATTCAAGTACCTGATTATTGTGTTGGTAGTATAATTGGTAAAGGTGGTGAAGTGATTAAACGTGTAAGATAAAAGAAAAGAAAAATAAGATTATGACTTTTCTCTTTTTTTTTTTTTTGATTAGTTTCAACAACAATATTCTGTTCGTTGTGTATTTGCTAAAGATGATGAAAAAATTCTTAATGAAAATTATCGAATATTAATTATACGTGGACAACGTTATCATGTATATGAAGCTGAAGTTGAAATACGCCGTTTAATTGCTGATTTACCACAATATCAACAAATTGAAATATTTATACCTGATTATGCTTGTGGTTATATAATTGGAAAAAATGGTTCTAATATAAAAGATATTCGTGATAGTACAAAAGCACGTCTTAATATGGATAGAAAAATTATTGATAATTTAGAAAATAAAAAATTTTCTCGTTTAATTATATCGGGTACTAATGAACAAATTGTAGCAGCTAAAGTAGGAAATAAAATTTTTATTTTTTTTTACTTAAAACAACAACAAAAAAAAGAAAGAAATTGATATATTCTTTTATTTTATTTAAAGACTTTAGTTGAAGAACGTTTATATCGATTGGAACAAAAACAAAAAGAACATAATAATAATAATAATTCAGTTATAACATCGGTATGATTAATCAAAGAAAAAAAAAAACTACTTTCTTAGAAGAATTACGAGTTATACATGTATGTTAGAAGAGAATTTCATTCTTAAAAAAAAAAAAAAAATCTTGTTTTTAATTATCAGAACAAAAAGTAAAATAATGTATAAAAAGATTTCTTTTAATATTAATTTCAATATGAAAGATAGAAATCGATGAATATTTCTATATTCCATGTATAAAATCGTATTGCTTAGTTATTATTCAAGGACAAATTATGTACTGTATATGTCTAGCCCTGTTTTGAAGGTTTACATACAACCGACTATAATTATAATCGTACAAAGAATTCATCGTATTTAGTTATAGTACGATTTTATTGATCGTATTAATATAAGAATAATCTTTTGTTTTATTACTTTCGATTAATCAGATATTCGCTCTCTCTCTATATATTTAATTTCTAGAAGAAAAAAAAAGAAACAAACGATTATTTACATCTCTGATAGATCATTTGTTTTTTTTTTTTTATTTTTAATTTAGAATTTCATTGACGATAACGATTAAACTATAGATAATGATTAACATTATTGTTTACTTGTTTTTTTGTTTTGTTATTACATTGATTATTTTCATAGTTGTTTTTTTTTGTTTTGTTTTGTTTTGTTTTGTTTGTTCTAGATAGTATGTCTTTAGATTTAGATCTTGAACAGTTTAATGATCATTTGAATGGAACAAGTATTGGAGTAGATGATGTTGATAGTCAAGATGTTGATATGACAGTAAATATTCGACATAATGGACAAAATCAAGCTGAAAAACGAGCACATCATAATGCACTTGAAAGAAAACGACGAGATCATATAAAAGGTAGTTTCAGTGATTTACGAGATGTTATACCATCATTAAAAGGTGAAAAGGTAATTAATTAAAATTTTAATATTTAAAATAAAGATAATTATTCTTCTTCTTTTTTTTTTAAAATAGGCTTCTCGTGCACATGTTCTTAAAGCAGCAACAGAATATATTCGTAATATGAAAACAAAAAATTTACAACATCAAAAAGCAATTGAAGAATTAAAAAAACAAAATGCTATAGTTGAATTACAGAGTTAGTTTTTCTCTTTTTTTTGAAGATTTTATTATTTTATTTTTTTTTTTAGTTCGTCTTCTTGAAAGAGTTAAAGAAACAGGTCAATATACACGTCATATTAATAATATTCATCAAGAACAATTAACAAAAATCGAATTAGAATTAAATGGTATTCAAACAACAAGAAATTTATTAACAAATGAAAATAATCCATCAGTATCATCTCATATATAAAAAAAAAAAAAAAAACTTTATTTAATTATTGTCTTTATCTTTTATTTTTTTAATATAGTGCCATTTGTCAGAAATAAAAAACAAAAAATGTTTGTAGTTTGTGTGTATGGATTGATTTTTCATTTTGAATATATATCAAGTCTTAAATATGAATATGAATTGATTATGTATTTTTTTTTTTACTAATGATGATCTCTTATCTTATATTTCTTTTCTGGAAAAGAAAAGGTGCTTTAAACTATTAAGAGAAAAAAGAAAGCAAATGTCATTTTTATTATTTCTTGTACTGCAAACGCACTATTTTTTTTCTTGTTCTTTCGTCTACTGAATTTGATATGAAAAAATAAAAAAAAAAATTCTCTTTTTCTATTCGTTATTATAAATTGATGAAATATGATTATGACAATGTAAGATGTGTAAAGAAAGATAAGTCAACAAAAGAGACAATAGGTAAAAATCTTCGTCAATGATACTAAATAAAATTACGTTTTGCGTTTTTTTTTTATCTTTTATCGTTTCATTCATTATACTGAACTTTATGGTTATTGTATAGGGTAAGATTTTTCATTCTTTGAAATGTGTATATATACATATTTTTCAAGGATTTGTTATAAGAGAAAAAAAAAAGAAAAATGCAAACATTGATAACGAGAGTGTAAACTTGTATTAAATTATTTATCATGATTTTACTCTTATAGACGTACTTAACAAACAAACAAATGAATGAGAAAAATTCCAGAAGATCTAGATGTCAACCACCATCATCATATGGTATAGTTTATAGATCACAACGATCTCGTTCTCTTAGTAATGATGGAGAACGTACACTTTCATTGGAAAGTGTTTTTACAAGAGAACATAAATTATCTATGGCAAATAAGATAGAATTTACACCAACAGAAGAAAAAGGAACTAAAGTTGCTGAATTAGTTGAACAATTTGAAAAAGTTAATTCAAAAGACAATGTTCAATTACGTAACAAAAATAAATGTCCATTATCATCATTCAATCGATTTCATAATGTTCGTACATCTACACGTGAAAGTAGGATATTATAAGAATTTTTTTTGTTTAATTTCGTGTGTTGAATTGGTGACGATTGGAAAAATAATCATTTTTTGTTTAAGATAAACTTTATGAAAATCTTTACTAAATATCAACAGTTTTTAAAAGATTTACTATTTTCTAGAGAATTTGTTTTCTGTACTTTCGAATATATTTCATAAAATTTTATAGCATATTTGAAACAAGTTATATTTGAGTTAATGATTCATTTATAGTTTTTATGCGATACATTTAAATACGCAAAAAATAGTTCAACATTCAACCTAGCCCTTATATTTGAACTATTATATTAGAAAAGAAAAAACAATTGACTTTGTGAGTCTACAAACATATGTGAACAGTCATATTTTACCTTCACTATTTCTACTGATGATAGTCAATCTATGATTTTGTCTGAGGCGTCAAGCAATGCGCAGCACAATATAATTATAGCTTACATTTAATAATCATTCATATATAAAAGTTACCCTTTCGTATTCAGTTTAATTGCTACATTCAAGTGCTTCATCTCAGATAAATACGAATAATAATAAATCGAAAGTTTAAAATTACTTTTTCTTCGTCTTTTTTTCTCTGTATATAGTTAGGTTTCGATGAAAAGAAAAAATTTCAGTTTTTATGGTTATTATGTCCTTATGGACCTCGACAAGTTAAGATTCTGATACGAAAAGCAAGTAACTTTCTTTCATAATGACTAATGCATTGAAAAAGAGGAGTACACAAAACATGACTCATCGATTTGAGAAGACGAAAACCTCACAAATGTAACTAATGTGACTGAAAAAAAAGAAATAAGCCATATTATTGTTTTTGCGTAAAATCAACTTACCTTCATACATCGAACAAATATTTGAAGAATCTTTATGTTCTTTTTTTTTCAAATTGTATTTTTATCATTACTTCAATTACTATAAATATTAAATTTCAATATTTGTATCTTGTTTTTTTTTAAGTGTGGACATCATTACCTGAAAAAAAGAACATAACTACTATAAGTACTTCCCACTTTATTCCAACATATACTCAATCTCTTCTATCGAATGTATCAACATTTGAAATAAATAAAGATACTACTTCGGATTCAAATTCAAAAAATAAAAATTCTGATGATTTAAAAACTTCAATCACATATGATTCTGTATGTAAATAAATTTGTTTTTGTTTTTCGTAAAAAAAAAAACAAAATCATAATATTTTTTTAAGAATCAATCAAATGATCTCATTGATTCTCATCATATAAAACTTGACACAATATCATCAAATTCAATGTCAACAACAACAACAACAACAACATTAAAACAAACTCAAGTTCAACATCCCGAAATATTTATTAAATCTCAACCAAATCCTATACATAATTTTCCAAATATTGATTTTAATATTTCATCAAAATTTGATTCATTCGATGGGTCATCTATTGATGAAACTAAAGAATTCGATATTAAACAAGTTAGTTTCATATAAATATTTAAAAAAACAAAAAAACAAAATATTTTCATTAAATATTTTATTTTAGAAAGAAAGTTTATTGAAATGTCTTGATGAAGTATATGTAAATGAAGAAAAATATATTAAAAAACTTTATGTACTTTCTTTTAAAGTTTCTGATTATGTTAAAAAAACATGTCAGAGAGATGAAAATCTTCTTCATACATTTAATAGTGTTTATAAACCATTACTTGACACAATAAAACGTTTATATAAATTTCATTATGAATGTATCTTACCAGATATGATACAATATAAAATAGGTCATCGAACTGATAATATATGGTCAATATTTATTGAACATTTTCAAACAATTGAAAATTTATATAAAGAATATTATATTGTCTATGATGAAAATCAACAAAAATTAGAACGTTTATGTACTACAAATCCATTAATTCATGAAGCAATGCTTCAATGTCAAGTTCATCTTGGAAATTTATATCCAATTAATGAACTTAATTGTGCCAATCAACATTTACTTCGGTAAGAAGAATACAATTCAAATAAAGATCATAAAAAGAAAAAGTACAGTATATTGATCCTGTCAAGTCTTAGTTCGAAAATTTTCGTTCCAATAGGTTCTAATAGTATGTATTCTTCATATACATGTATTACATAACAAATTTTATTTCAGTCTATTTTATCTCTTTACAGTAACATAGAAAATGAAATTTATCAAAAACGCGACTTAAAAAAAAAACAAAAACCTTTTTTCACAGTTTTTATAAGGCTTTTATTTTTTTAATAGGAGGTTGTAGAAAATGTAACAACTTCTGATTTGGTGCAGATTTTTGTACTTTTTACAATAGCATTATTAAAGAATTAGAAGACTATTTCGAGTTGTCTTTTTTTAAAAGTTATTTTTTTTTTCTTTCTTTGTTTTCATGATCAATATTTCCTTGATCATTTTGATTTATTTTAGTTATATGCTTCTTATGAAAACTTATATGCAACATCTTGATGAAGATTCTGCTGATTATGATCATACTTGTTTTGTACATGATGAACTAAGTTGTATAGCTGATCGATGTCAAGAATATTTAGCTGTATCTCCAGCACAATTAAATAAATTAAAATTACGAGTTGATAGCAAACCAGAATGTTTTGATAAACAACAACTTATTTGGCATGGTCGATTAAAAAGACAATTACCACGTAAACCTACTGATATTGTTCAATATTATGTTATATTATTTTCTAATTGTATACTTATATGTGGAGAATCAGGAAATAAACTTGAAATAAAACGACAATTATCAATAAAAAATATAAAAGTTGAAATTATTGAACGTGAACGATTAGCATCAGCATCATCTAATTCAACTAATGTACAACAATTGAGTTTTCTTATTTATTATCCATTTCATGTTAATGCTATTGAAAAATCTTATGAATTTTTACCTGATAAAGAATCCGATAGAGAAAAATGGGTGAATAAAATTAGACAAGCCAGTGAAGATTTTCAAAGACGAAATGCAACTATAGAAAGTATGTAATATATTTATTTCATATATTAATCAATCAATATAGAAAAAAAACAAATTCATTGTATTGATAAAAAACTATGTGCATTCTAAATACGTCAATACTTTTAACATTAATTCTTTGATTACGGGATCTATATCTATACTGGTTGAACTTTTATATTGATGATATATATTAAATTTACAGAAGATCATACGTTCACTTTTAGTACATCTATAGTATGATATTATACCATAGGATTATCTATAGAGCAATGTGAAAGACTTCTTAAACTTATGAGCAACTTCATTCGACTTTGCAAGCATTAGATTGTTGCATTGCTTAAAGCGGAATGTATATACTCGATTCTAGACTTGTATGAGTAAACTCAAATTTTTTTTTTCATCTTACTAAAAATCCTAAGTAGCTACCCACATTGCCATGCCGTCATATTCATATAAAAGGTCGGTTATATGTTTAAAAGCACTTCTACACAGGTTCACATTCTAGGTTAGAGTTGCAAAGTACTAAAAATTTTAATAGCCATGATGGTTAGAATTATGAATACATCAAAAAACAGAGTTATTAATAAATTTGAATTTTTCTTATTTAAAAACGGTATGTCAGTTAGAAAATCATAGATTTATTTCTGTGAAATATTGAGACAAACAATAACGACAATGAAGAATGCTTTAAAACTCATATAGTATTAGAAAATTAGAAGATATTCCATAAAAATTGTTGAATATTGTTTTATCTTTCTGAGAGTACTATACAGAAACATACGATCATTTTATTTAGTATTCCATTATAAAATGAAAAACTTTGATTTTTGAATTCATAGACATCGGTAGGTTTTCCTACACATACGATGATGATATGATACATAACTGCCTGAGTGTCACATTTATCTCTTGTTAATAAATCGATTCACTAATTTTTATTGAAATTCAAGTAATTCGATGATTTTTTCTTATGTAGCTTTTTCGACTGCTTCTATATTAACAGATATATATATATAATAGCATACAAACTGCAATTACGGTTCAATTTCGAATTGAGGAAGAATTTTATGCTAAAACTTGAATTAATCTATTAATCGACTTCAGATCATTGAAATCAATTCGTGAGGTTACACAATCTCTATGCAAAGTTTTTTTTCTTAGCATAGTAAGATTTTAAAAACAATTCAGTTATGATTAGAAAGATACTTGCCAATTACTTTTAATTAATAGTCAACTGGAAAAGCTAGCATTTTCTACATAAGTTTATTCTAAAAGAATATATGCAGAAAAAAAGAAAACTCTTATAAAGAACTTCAGTCAAACTTGTTTTTTTTTTAATTATTCTACTCTAGTTCGTCAATCGTTTCATCGTACTGATGAACAACAATTAGGTACTCGTGCTCCTTCTGCATGGGTCAATTATTTCGATGTAACACGTTGTCAAATTTGTTATGATCGTTTTAGTTCTAAATTAATATCTTCACGACATCATTGTCGATCATGTGGTCGTTGTATATGTAGTTCATGTTCAACAAAAAAATTAATTCTTAAATATTGTAATACTAAAGGTGAAGTACGTGTTTGTGATCAATGTTATAAACATTTTACTGGTATAGATAGAAATCGATTATCATCTCAAAAAATAACACGTGATGAAAATAAAACAATATTATTTGGTGATTTTCGATTTTTTCCATTGAAATCAATTATTTGGATTGAATTACAAGAAGATTATCAATTACATATATATGGTGGAAAATTAGATCAAGTTGAAGATTTTTCTATTGATCTTAGTGAACTTAATAATATAATATTTGTACAAGAAACACAAACATTTATATTAAATGGAAAAGATAAAACATATAGATTATCTATGGAAATAAATCATCAAACTATATATCCAAAAAATGATTATATTGATACTAATATTCAAAATACAAAAAATAAAGTATTATTTTATGCTAATTTATGGCATGATACAATGCAATTAGCTCGTTTAAAAATAACACCTGTATGGTATACAAGAAAACGTGATTCAGCTGATAGTGGTATCAGTAATATTTGATCAATATTTTATTGTTTGTTCTCTTTTATTATTTAGTTTATATGTTTCATTGTAAAAAAAAAAAAAAGAAGAGCAGTGCTTATATTAGATAAAGAAAGACTTTATTTAAATATGACTTTGAATAAATCGTTGAAATTCTGTTTGATTTAATTGTCCATCATGGTTAATATCAGCAGTAGTAGTAAAACTTGTACCATCTACATCAAATTCACCTTTAGCTATATTAACACTGCCAACTAAAGCACTATCATCAACTAGTTGAATTCCATCGAAAACAGTTGCACCTAATGATGAAAAATTTTGACCAGCTGTTGTGTTTGACAGATCAAAATCGACAGGATTTCCACTTGCACCAATATATATTGAAGATGGTATTGCAGGAGGCGACTAAAAAATACAAATTTGTTTTTTTTTTTTGTTTTTTTCGAAAATATTTTTTTTACGATATCTTCAACAACACCAGCGTTACGAGCCTCTTGAATAAGTGTTGCAGAATCTAAAAGTGATGGCCCATAACGAGCTATATAAGCTTGAGGATTTTCTTGAATTACGCGAAGTTTTTTAAATTGTCGTATTATATGTGCTTGAGCAGCTTCATAAACAACGACAATATTACGTGGTTGTGGATATGGTACAGCAGCAGGAGCACGTTGAACAATAGTACGACGTTTTGGTTGAGACCCATAGGGAATCCATCGTTCAATTATGATATCACCTGAATAGAAAAAGAATTGAAACTACTCAATGAAAATAATGATTTTACGTGGTTTTTGTGGAGGAGGTGGAATACGTTCAATAATAACTGATCGTGGTGGAACAGGTCTAGCAGGTAAACGGCGAATAACTATGAAAAATAAAATAAACTGATTAATATAATTAATTGATTTAAATTTGATTCTTTTTTTTTAACTTGTTTGACTAGCAATTATTGTCGGTGGTATTGGTGGACGTTCACGTAAGATAAGTGGAGATGGTGGAGGAAGAGGTTGTGCACGTTGACGTACAATAAGTGGTAGGGGTGGAGGTGGCTGTACTGGACGCACTTCTTTAATAATAAGTGGCTAAAATTGTAAAGATAAGTATAATTGAATTTGTAAATATTTATTTAATTACTCCTGGTGATGGAATAGCTGGTGGTTGAAGAAATCGAACAAGAATTTTTTGTTGATATATTATCGGACCTTCAGTTGTTGCCCGTCGAACGATTTGTGGATCAGGATCAAAATAAATATTTTTGGCTGATTGTGAAAGATATTGGTTGGGTTGGTGTACACTACTTGTATGAATCGCTGTATCACCAAACAATTCACCGGATGCTGTCGGCAATCCATATGAAGTATTTATGTCAGCCGTCGATTCAAAAGCATTTTGAGAACTAAAACTATATTCATTTCCGCCAATACAATTAGTAACATTATCATGAAGAATAAGTCCATTAGTTGATGTTTCATACGATGCAGAATTTAATCCTTCTGCATTTGAAATCCAATTACGAAATTCATTTTGATCAATACTAAATAGAAGATTTATATTATTATGAAAATTTTTATTTCATACCATCCATCTCGATTGGTGTCAACTTGTGCAAATAAAGCTTTGGCTACATCAAAATTTGTCATTATTCAAAATCGACAGAGTAGAGATCAAATACTCAAATAAAAACGTAATGATCATCAATTTATATATCTCTCATTAATATAACAAATGCTCAATCAAGCATGAACAAAACTATACATAAATATAGACATAAAACATCTATTTCATTGCATTAAAGTATCCTTGGATATATTCTTTTTTTTTTTCGCTTTTTAAATTATTGATAACAAAGAAAATTAAAAGTATCATTGAAACAAAAATGTATTAATTATTATCGTGTCGTTTTTATAGATATTTAATGAAGGTTAGACTAGAACCATGAAAGTATTGTAAGACGAAAAAAAAAAAAAGACAAGCCCTTCATTATACTAGATGAAGGAAAATTAGTCCATTACGAATTCAAAAAGAAGGATATGACATTAGACAAAATCATTGATTCAAACATTATTTTTTTATTGTTCTAAATAGTACGTTCATTTCTTATGTTGTACATAGCAACAACCCATGTTAGTTGCAAATTATTCCTCAAATTAACAAATTATGATGAAAAAAGTTCTTTTAGCATAGGCATATGTAAAAAGTGTTGACTCTTGCAACTAACTATTTATTAAAAAGTAATTAGCAAATATCTCCTTATCCACACAAGAAAAAAATCGAAAACTTCAGACTAGACCATACGGAATGAATCACATCTATGACGAAATTGTCAGCAGTATCAAACTACAAAAGACTTCTGCTTCATAGTAAGTCATCTAGAAATCCTCTCAAATCTTGAAACAAATTACTATGAATGTTTTTTTCTAATGGCAAAAAAGAACTGCTAATAGATTATGAATTATTCCGGACACTTTCCACATTGATGTGATATATTTCAATAAATGTTTGTTCTATATAAACTAATGAATTAATACTTATTGGCTACTGTAGAGCTAAGATTGATTAGCTAATCCGAGATGATCATAGCAATATGTGAAAACATATAGAACTAAGTATCGATCAAAAATTACTTATTTATATGTCTTTTAGTGTTCACATATGCTCTTAAGGTATAAGATAATTGTCTGCTAACATCATAAATAACAGCATTGTTTACTATGGAAAAAGAAAAATCTTTGCTATGTTTATTCTCTTCGACTCACAGGATCTATTCTATTTGAAATGGAAGGATATACTTGGAAAATCTGTCTCTATATTGTTTGTGAGTGTAACTCAGAAAACCTGTGGCCACTTACGTTTTTTTGATATGGACATATTTCGACAAACCCAGGTCTATTCTATATTTTATTTGTTGTTCTTTGAAATCATAAAGAAAGTTGTAGCTGAGGATTTGTATCAAAAGACATAAGTTGAGTGCTATTTTAGTTCTTATCCAACAGTTTTTGAATATTTGACTTTAAGCTCATACTTTGACCATAAGAAGGGCTCAATATGACTAGAAAAGCCTAAAAGGATGTGTCCCCATGGGTGTCTGATCAAAAGTTATGGACATGTCATTATTCATCTAAAAACGTGTAATGTACAGGCCGATTTCTTGTAAATATTCTGTAACTCCACTGATTTAAGCAATGAATTTTTTTATTCTGCAGCGATTCTGGTGGCTTCCTATGGTCAGTAAACGTGTCAAACTAATAAGGTCTGATATTTAAGAGATACAATTTTTTTTATTTCTAAGGGCCTTCTTGTAAGTACAGTAATGTAGGCTTTTTTTCTATCCTCCGTGTCATTTTATCAGAATGAGGAAGAATGTAAAGAATGGTACGAAGGGTTGTTATCCTCTGTCCATTTCTTCAGATAGATTTTTGAAAGCTAAATGATAAAGACTGAATCTGTGACATCCATGCTGGCGGATCGTGTTGCGAAGTAAGATTCTTATCGTCCTTTGGATTACATTCTTGAACAACAGTTTGTCAATCAATTGTACGCAATTTTGGATAAAGTTCTGATGAGTTCGTCTGACAAAGTGGAGAACAAGACTGCACTAGACTATGATACTGCATTGGACGATGCGCATGAGGACGAAAGTTACGACACAGAAATGAATGAAAAAAATGATCCTACCTTCTCTGGCACCATAGGTGATGAGAAGATAAGAGATAATACTCTATTGTAAAAATTTCCTCTTCTGCCAAGTATATGACAAATATCTTTGATTTCTACGATGAAACGATTGGAAAACAGAATTATGCATGAAAAATTGTTCTGCATTGCCCATGATTTTCTTTGAACTGAAAAATCGGTATGAAAAATGTTCGAAAGTCTACAGAAATTGGATTTTTGTACTTGTCCAATGCTAGATCCTATTGGTTTGAAACTTTTACTGACTAGAGGAAGCCACCAAAGTCGCTGTAGAATAAAAAATTCATTGCTTAAATCAGTGGAGTTACAGAATATTTACAAGAAATCAGCCTGTACATTACACGTTTTCAGATGAATAATGACATGTCCATAACTTTTGATCAGAGACCCATGGGCACAAATTCTTTTAGTATTTTTCTAGTCATATTGAGCCTTACTCATGGTCAAAGTATTAGCTCATAGACGAAGAGACAGTTCGGGTACCTCTCTCGTTAGTTTTCGTTTAAAATTTTACTATTCGTAAAGTAAAATTTATTGTTTTGTTGCAAAGTATGCATATCCGAAACTATCTCGCACGGTTTCCAGTGTTTCACACTGAAAACACATTCATTAACTTTTTATTGGTGATATCCACACTGTTTATCTGAAAAATCTACTTTTGGTTGGCGTATAGGCCAAGTTGAACCTTTCGTTGTGGGTGTCTATGGTATGGGTATTGCTTTTGCTTGAATTACACGAACATTCTCCCATATACTATACCCACATCCTGTCAAAAGGAACTTCTTATGTATCCAATGAACATGATTATTTTTATGACTTATGTTACAGACTAATTAATTCAAAAGCCAAATCCTAAATAATATATGATAATCATAGAAGAAGAAAAAGGCTGTACTTGATGATGATATACAATGATAACAATAAATGATGAGAAATTCTAAGCTCGATGAAATATCTTTTTACTCGATTTGTATATATGGTTATACCTGCCTGATTGGCTTATAAAAAAATCGTTCGTGTTTTATTTCAATCTCAATTTTATCAAAAGAAGACTTCAGGATAGGTCTATTTTACTACTTGTATTAAGAAAACCTTTCTTATTCTTCGATAGCTGAGATAGTGCCTTCAATAAGATTTAAGTTAAAATCACTAGAATTTACCTTAGTATACCTTCGATTTCTATTACTTTTTATTCATATTGGACTATGTTGAAACATAGCTTGTTCTCTTTTATATTACATAGTAAAATAATGAAATCGATTTATTAAAAGTACTCTTTTCGTAATATAAATAATCTTTTGTAGCTCACGTTCAAATGAAAATCAAGCAAAAAATTTTCGAATTTCTTTCTTTTTTGTATTGGAGAAATCAAGATGAATATGAGGATGTGAGTGTTTACCATCATACCCACACCCTGAAATTTCCTTCCTTTAAAACATATTCATCTATCTATCAATTCTCAAGAAGAATGAATCAATCAATATTTCTCATCAAACTTAAAAAATGATAAAAATAGTCAATTTTTTCTCTTATATGTTTTATAATACTATTATTGATTAAAATCTATGTCTCAATAGTGACTTTATACTTAAAAATTATTGAGCAAATTATAACTTAATCATTCATTGTTTACACACTAAACTTGAGATATAACAATGACAAATAAAGCAAAAAGAACATTCTATGATGATTAGTTTTGTGTCTTATTCAGACAGTTTTATAAAGGATATGTGTGCGTGTAAATGAGACTTTATACCTTCACATCCACACCCTATTATGAAAACAGTTTATAGCAGTATAAGGAAAGGAAAAGAACATTATTGAGCACAAAGTATTTTAGATGAAAAGAGACTGGATGATGTGACACTTGTTTCTTTCGGCTAAGAGTGTAATGAAAAATCTTATTGAACATTTCCTCCAGGAAACGTAGTGAAATGCGTTCTGCATCATATCCAAAACTTAAATCTGCAAAACTGGTTTTATTCGCAAGAGACAAGTTTTACAATGCTTTACCTCTGATTTTTTTTTTCTATCGATGTAAAATTGCAAACGAAATAACTATCTCGTGCTCTCTTTCATAATATATCCGAGCTTTTTTTATTTATCAGCGAATCCACATTCGTACAAAGTCAGCCGGGTGTCTTGCAATCGTCCACGTCGATGGCAAACATTCTTTCAACCATTTGACAAGTTCATCTTCAGTGGATGATGATTGATCATTGGTTTCATTGAATGGATCATCTCGACACTTAATATTTAATGCTCGAAGATTTGTCATTCTATTGACAAGATCAAGGATAGTTGCACGATCTTCAACTCGAATAAGAAGTACTTCACATTGAATACCTAGTGATGAGCAACACAATTTAGCACACTCTTCATCGTTGAACCATCGCTCCACAAGCCAATCTTCATCATATCCTTGTAAATCAAGTCGACGAACTGACAAACTTCTATTGTCAACAAGACACATTTGAGAATCTGACCACGACCTGAAAGCTAAGGAGTAGAGACGAGGGGCTCGATCGAGAACGACTTGCAATTGAGATCGAACATCATTATTATTGTAGTCATCATCGTGCAGTGCTAGATCAAGTGAAATCAATTGATCGAGTGTAGTAATGACCGACCAAAACTGATCATTTGAAGGAAGACTGAGACGAAGATGATGAATATTGGGAAAAGCAATTTTACATAAAGTTGATTCTCGAATTATGGGAGTACGATAGATCAAACTATGTACGCGATTATAAGACCAATAATCATTTTCATGTGGACAAGTAGATTTCGATGAGATCTTGACTATAGGATCAAAATAGCCAAATGCATATGGTAATGTGTAGAGTATAATACTATTTAGACAACATTCTTCAACATAGTGACATCGGACAAACCATTGATGTTCATCAAGCCAGAACGAACTTTGAAATGAAGCAATTAATTTATCGATTTTTAGTTGCTTATCATCATCATCTTCGAGTTTAATATGCATTTTAAGTTGAAAGGTTTCAAGTTTGGGTAAATGATCAATTATTATTTGTTCCCATTGTTGTCCATCCAAGTCGATATCAAATGTCTCGACTGTCAAATGACATAAATTGGGCAAGTTTTGTAAAAAATTGTCTAATTGATATAACGAATTTTGAATAATAAGTTTCAACGTTATCATCAATGGAATAGAACATGATAATGGTTGATCGAATTCATCATCGAACAAACGTACATAAAAATGTTGCAGATGAGGTGTATGTTGAAATAGATGATCTAATTTACTCAAATACAAACTGAACTTTCCGACAGAAAGATATTCAAGTGATGATGAGATCGTATTTAATCTAGGAAACAATCGTTCATTTTGATGAAAATCTATATATAAATGACAATGGGTAAGTCTTGGTAGACCCCAGATGGCATTGATCATTTTCTCACTGTCTGTTTCGTCACATAAAAAGTGATTGTTGATGAAATTGAGATGAGTGAAATATGGCAAATGATATAACTCTTGGATTATTTTCATCGTTGTCTCGTATGAATACAACTGACACAATGAAAGTGTTTGTAATTGTCTAAACTGATGAAGAGTAAAACCATATGATATAAAAATATCGATTTGTTGTGGAGTATCATCGCCATCGGATAGTCGAAGTGAAATAATTCGATCAATAACAGATGGAAGATGTTGGGTACAGACAATATCAAAATCATGTTTGGACACAGATTGAAAATCGAGATGACCATAGAGTTGAAGATGAGTAAATAGAAGAGTATTGAAACGAGCATTGAGACCATGGAAAGTCTGAAGAAGATGAACGACAGAAAGATATTCAAATAGATCGAGTAATAATTCGTTGGACAACGATTCCAAATTCATCTATGCTTTGTCTGTAGTTTTTTTGCTTGCAATGTGACTTGAATCGACGAAAATACAGCACGTTTTATATGTTACGATGGAAGAAAAAGAAAATATGTGTATGCCGTGATTATTTTTTTTTCTCTTCTTTCTTTTTCTTTTGCTTTTTTGAAGAAGTACGACAAATGCAGTCTTTCTTTTTTTCTGATGTCTTTTCTCACCTCAGGCCAAAAAAATAAACGATGTTTGACACGAGGTAATGAATAAAAACAAATGTGTTTCTTTCGTAGATAAGAAGAGATGAAATGTTGTTGAAATATTCCACGATCATCTTCAATTGAAATTTGTTATTTTCCCCTATCATCTTTTTGTATTTGCTTAGAGTCGAGATGACTTGCAGTCAAAAAGTGGAAATTTGCTGGGTAAGAATTCCAAGGTCGTCATAATTTATACTGATAGATAAATCTAACACTACACCATAATGAAAGGTTCTTGTACTAATTGAATTGTCCTCATAATTGCCTTACGGTGAATCAATATAAAACGATTGAATTCTATTCAAAATTCTTCTGTTCATCGAAGCACCGTGACAAATGGTAAAACAACCTCATAGAGTACAGGGTATGAGTGTTGGCTTGGATATTGATTTAATCCACATCGACACCGACGCTCACACCTAATTAGACATCACAAGAGAAGATATATCTGTTCGAATTGCAAATCTGACGCATTTGTCTTGCATTTCTTTAATGACTTATTAAATGATGAAGATTAGCCAAATAATTGTAGGACATGTGGTCGTACCATCTACCAAAAGAGTTTTTCTAGTTGTAGAACATCTTAAGTGAAAATAAATCATGTCTTATTTTTGAGTTTTTCTTTTCTTTGACAAATGAATACGGAAAAAAAAGTAAATACATGCACTGCATATATGTGACTGAGTCTCAGAAACGAAAAAAGAACCGATACATGAAAATCAGCAATCACTCGGAAATATTTGAAACGACATTGAGAAAAGGACACGAACAGATCAACATAAAAAAAAAAATAAATTTTAATGAGATGAAAATTACCATTTTGCTTTCGTTGATATTCTTATAGATCCATTAGGTCCATTCATTTGTTGTAATTTAGCTGGAAGTTCATTAGATATGGGATATTTATTTGCTGAATTAGATGTTATTGACGATTATTGATCAAGTCGTGGTGTAAATCTAAAAAAAAAACAAGAAAAAATACTTCTTTGTTTTAATTTTAATTTTTCAAATAAGTTAACCTTAATAAATCATCTGTTTTATTTGTATCATTATAAGTATTATTAGATATTGTGACATAAGAGTTTCTAGGTTTTCTTGGTTTTTGATCAGAAAAAAAATAATTTCAATTGTCGGTTGAACTTGTATTTGATTATTAAATAGTACAGTTGTTGATGTTGTGGTTGGCGTTGTAGGTGCTGCTTGTAGCACTTGCTCTTGAGCTTCACGTTCACGTTTTTCTCGTTCACGTGCACTTTTTTCAGCTAATTTAACTAATTCTTTGTCAAGTCTAGAAAATTAATAACAGAAAGTCATTAAGTTTGCTTTTACATCACAAAATTCATTGGAATATATTATTAATGAAATATTGACTTGGCATTTTGAGGTGTGTAGATGTGGATGTGGGTAAACAGAGAACTCACACCCACACCAACACTCAAATTTTTACTTGTGTTGATTATTCTTCAGAGGCAGTAGAAGGTCGATATCATATTTATTCATATTCATATACATTGAAAAACTACAATAATATAACAAATAATTTTCCAGGTAGATTATTGGAATGTTTTCATGAAATATCATTATTTGATAAATGAATTCTAGAAGATGAACTATTTAATATTGCATAGTCATTTCCATTGATCAAAAACAATTAACTTTATTTAATTAAAAATGACAAAAGAATAAACAATGTAGAATATCAAAAGATAATGATCAAGATTTCTTAAATGTTAAATATTCTTATCTTAATGATCTCAATCTATATGAAGTTTATGATGATTATAGATGTTATACACAATTTTAAAAGAGATCAACACAGATTAATTGTTCAAAAATAAATTATTTGTATTGTGATATTATTTGTTCACTTCCAAAACATGTCACTTTTTTTTTGAATACACTTCCAATTATTTAATGATTCTTATGATCAACTATTCTGTAAATAAAATTAATTTCTTCAATAATAGATAATAATATAGGTATTTAAATTGTTTATATAAGCTTAAACTTTTTACCAATTTGGAAAAATAGACAGTAGACTTGAGTTTTGATATTATATTGGTCATGATCGGTAAGAGAAGAGAAAATAATTGAAAATCCTCATTATTTTTCATCAGTCCTTTTGATTAATGTTTACAAAATCATTTTACTTACAAACCATTCATTTTTGTAGTGAGAAAATGTTTATAAACATAAGTTTAGTATAATTGTCACGCTAACCTTTAGTATGTTACATACTAGTATTGAAAAAACAAAAAATTTGAAAGCATCAGGTTTATTCTGAAAGTAACATTTTATTTGATAGATTTAATGCTATTTGAGTCAGTTTCATTCTTCTGTTTTTTCACAAGAAAATTATTCAACATTATACTTTCATACGCATTTTTCATATCAGAATTAACATATGGATGTGAGTGTGAGTCTTCTAATGCACACATGCACCCTGCATAGTAGTTACTATGTACAGTGGACAACTTTTTCATTAGTTCTTTCATCATTACTCACATATTACAAATATTTATTTGATGAAAATGAATTAATCTTATTCGATAAATCTCAAATATTATCTCGTTCGTTTTTCTTTGAAAATTTTCAAAAATAAATAATTTATTTAGTTTCATCTCAAGGTATTTTGTTCGTTTACTGATGCACCGTTGTAAATGGCTTCGACGATCCACTATCATTTATGAAATCTCTGATCTATCAAATAATACAGATCACTTAATTCAACATGTATAGAAACAGATTTATTTCAAAATAGTAAAAAATTTTATTTCATTTTACAAATAAAATTTGATGAGATTTTCTCTTTTGAAAGTCTCATGATTAGAGGATCTTGATGCAGATCTTCATGTATTACCTAATGACGAAATACTTGAGCTTTGTAAAATTAAACAATGATTCGTTCAACAGCAACAAATCGTGATTATATATTATTAAAAGAGTTTGGTACTAAATCCAAAATTTTCGAATAAATAATATTATTATTCGGATTCAAACGAATAATACTTAAAAATACATTTCCTCTTCTGTCAATAAGATTTTTTTTATTAATTGAAATTTGTTAATAAGAATTTGTTTATATATAAAAAATATTTTAAATAATTCGTCAATAACTTCGACTGCCATTGAATTAAAATTAAATTATTAGTCATGAACATTTACCATTTAAGACATCTGAACAACTCGATCTTCAAGATAAATTAATAAGCGTAAAATCTTTTTATTTTTTATTCTGTTAGCAACGATCAATTGATCTTCATACAGAATATTATCAAAGTCAAAAAAAACTGATGAATTAATTCATTTCGATGAGATATATGTCATAAACAATGGTGTGAAATGATTGACTCCCTATTGAAAAGTATTTGATAAAGTTCGTGCTCGAAATTTTATCTGGATTAATTGAAGTATTACAACTAGTATAAAGTTATAATGAATCAATTGAATTATAATACAATATTTTATTAGGTAATTTTTTCTTTAATTTTTTTGCTCGATTTAAACAAATTAATTTAGTTTAAATCGAGCAATGTATAATTGACATCATTAGAGTAAATTATGGAATCATCTAGCACTTGCCAAAGTAGGTAACTGTCCTACATTAGGTGAAAGAGTAAGAAAACTAATATGCTCGATCGAAATCAAAAGGAAAACTTCGACCAGTAATATCGGTCATAGATGAGCCCGAAAATTCCATATGAAATGTACCAATGCTAAAAAAAAGTTAGATTTAATCTAAAAATTAAATTTTCATTTTGTAAATTAGATTAAAGTTACTGGTCGTTTATTTCGAAGAAGTAACCAAATTAATTAGAGAAGGTGCGGATGTGGGTATAGCTATCTGTGAAATGGCAGTTATTTTCTCGACAAGACTCTCACTCATTTCTATACCTACATTCACACCGACACCCTCACCCATCCATTGCCGTTTTGCTTTCCTCTCATTAGAATGTTTTGCATTTATATGTATGAATTACACAAGAACCATTTTTTCCGTTTTTCTTGTCTTCTATTGATCTTGATGAAACGTGACAAAGACGAGTGCAAGCATGATGGTAAATATTGTGCACATCATCAAACACTCAGCCAATTGGTCGATCAGTGGGAAATTTCTTCTCTCCAATATTTCTATAAAGTTCTTCCATGTTTTGAATTTGGCAGGAATTCTATCGATTTTTATTCCTATTGCCAATGATAAAAGGTAACAACATCACCTTATCACACAACGTGTTACATCCCTCTTCGGTGTTTTTCTTGTTGAGATGGTTTTTTAGTGAATAGAATACAGCCAAAGAAGAATTCTCCAAATTA